TACAAAATTCAACCTTAGGAGTGCTTATAATTTGGTAAGGATTAAGGAGGGACATGAATGGAGAACTGCATTTAACACTAGAAATGGTCACTATGAGAATCTTATGCAATGCCCCAGCCGTATTTCAGGATCTCATTAATGATGTTTTCAGAAACTACATTTATACTTTCGTATTGGTATATCTGGATGATATACTAATTTATTCCCCCTATATCCAGACTCAAAATGTTAAACAAGTGTTGCAAACGTTGCTAAAAAAACAGGCTTTATTGCAAACTTGACAAATGTCTATTTGACCAGAGTTCAGTTCTTGGGCTATAATATAATATAGCCTCTGGTTTTCAGATGGACCTACGTAAACTAGAAGCCGTTCTACATTGGCCATTACCCAATGGGTTAAAGGCCATTCAAAGGTTTATTGGGTTTGCAAATTACTATAGGAGATTCATCAAAGGTTTCTCCACGGTGATAGCCCCATCACCAATATGACACATAAGGAGGTTAACTGTAATTTTGAGCTTCTTAAGAAATTATTTGCTTCTGCTGACATATTGGTACATCCTGACACTAGCAAACCCTTCATACTAGAGGTAGACGCGACTGAGACACTGGTAGGGGCTTGTTACGGTTACCACCAGGCTAGCTGGAAGCTGGACCGCTTGGGCGATCTGGATCCCGTTGTGGAGAGAGAGAGAAGCCGCTTCGACTAGACGACCAAAAGGATCCTGTAAATGTAGAACAATCCCACTAGCTATAGTACAGCTAGGATAATCTTTTCCCCACAAAACGAGTCGAGGCTGCGATTTGAAGGTCAAACAAGAACTGCTTTTAATGGCACACAGGGATCGGTATTTATGCAAAATCTCAGGTCCAGGGACAGCCCCCACTGGACCTGATGGGATACAGGAATAATACAATAAGAATGAAATGCATCATTTGAATTTGTTACCGCCCAGCTTGGAGATAATGAACCCAACAGCTATGCCAATACAATTATCTCTAAGCGCCCAAAATACCACGTTTTTATTACACATCAAAAACAGGTTAAAAATATATAACTTCAACATTTTCAGCTATACTTCGGAACTTCTACCATTCATTCTGTAGCCCAGGTCTGTGTGCAATATTTCACCGAATAGCGCCTCAAACCCACGAACCATATGCTTGGTTTCTTCGTTGCAAAGTCCGTTCGCATATTTGGTCCTGAGCTTGAGATGGCGGCCATGTTTTTGAGTGAGTCAATAGGCAGCGGACCTCGGCATCAAACTTGTGGAACGATTAACGGCCAGAGTTGTGCACGAATCCCCGCTCTCTGGCTGGATGTTTCAGCTTTTCGGGAGACGAAGGTAGACCGCCGTAAAGCGGGTACTTAACCTGCGGTTAACCGCAACACTCAACATTCTAATTGAAGCCACACGCCAGGCTGTAGGTGGTCCCCGTTCGTGACCCGTTCGGTAGTTAGACCATCGGGAGATAAGGCACGAACGAGAATGCCCAGAGGCCGTCAATTAACCTGTGGTTAACCGCAGACTGCAACTCTCTGGGCGATCAAGTGGTAACACACTCCCCTCGCAGGGTGGTCGGTTGTTCGGTTGTTTGAAAGGTGACCGGGGTTAAGTGGCGGCACACGCCAGGGTCCGGGTGGTCCGTTATTCGTTTAACGAATTGGTGTAAGTAATCTGTTCGTGAGTTGGGTACAGGATTTAAGTACCAAAGCAATCTTATAACAACGAAACAACATAATGCTTGTCTGTAATGTGTTTGTAACAGGGATATTCTTTCTCATAGAGAGAGTCATGATACCCCTTTGTATTTTTGTGGGTTCTTTTCTAGAATGTTGTCGCCAGCGGAGTGTAACTATGATATTGGTAACAGAGAATTGTTAGCCATTATCCTAGCTCTGAAAGAATGGCAACATCTTTTAGAAGGTTCCAGGGATCCACTCCTGATCATAACGAATCACAAAAACTTTCCATACATTGGTGATGCTAAAAGGCTGTCTTCTAGACAAGCCAGATGGTTGTTGTTCTTGTCACGCTTTAACTTTATTATCACTAACAGACCAGGTCCTAAGACCATTAAGGCTGACTCCCTATCTAGGCAAATTGACCTAGAGGCAGAACAAGAACAAGAGACCTCTACCATTATACCCAGGGGTCAAGTCCTGGGGAAAAAAGTGTGGGAACTCTCCCCAAAAAAACCCCAAAACACTTGTATGCATATATATATATATATATATATATATTTATATACACGCGTGCACACACACATACACTCACACAGTGGTGTATTTTAATTTTGTGCTGCCCTAGACATGACTATAGAGCACCCCACTAATCTAAATTTACCACTCCTTCATGTCAAGGGTGCACCGCTTCCTGATTAAGAACCCACCCCTTCCTCTTTAGACTCCACCTTTTCCTGCTCCTTTTAAAGAAATACTATAGTGCCAGGAAAACAAAGTTGTTTTCCTGGCACTATAATTCCTTATAGTGCCCCCCTCCTCTCATGTCCTCCCCTCCCCCCTCGACACTGAAGGGGTTAAAATCCTATGGGTATTTAGCAGATGCTGGATGCCCTCATGCACAGGGTGAGGACGTCCAGCATCAGTTAGGTGACTTTTGGTCACCTAACCACCCGAAAGTCCCTCTAGTGGCTGTCTGATAGACAGCCACTAGACTTGGAGTTACCCCTCAGGTAATTATTGCAGTTTCTGAGAAGGTTTAAGGGGACTGGGACACTGCACCCAGACCACTTCAAGGAGCTGAAGTAGTCTGGGTGCCTATAGTGTCCCTTTAAGCACACTCTCTGACAGACACCCACACTGGCAGAAACACACTGTAAGTAACACACACATTCAATGACAAACACACAGACGTCACTGATTTGACACACACATTCCCTGACACACACTCATTCATTGACAGAGAGACACACACTAATAGTCACACACACACTAAATGACAGATTCTCACTTATTTGACAGAAACTTACAATATCGTATGCACATACATGCAATTGCAAACATACACATGCATACACTAACAGAAGCACATACACTCACATACACACGTACAAACGCTAACAGACATAAATACACTCCTACACACACTGAGACAAACAGACATCCACAGACAGACATCCACACACAGACATCCACACACAGACATCCACACACAGACATCCACACATCCACAAACAGACATCCACACATCCACAAACAGACATCCACACATCCACAAACAGACATCCACACATCCACAAACAGACATCCACAAACAGACATCCACACATCCACAAACAGACATCCACACATCCACAAACAGACATCCACACATCCACAGACATCCACAAACAGATATCCACACATCCACAAACAGACATCCACACAGCCACAAACAGACATCCACACATCCACAAACAGACATCCACACATCCACAAACAGACATCCACACATCCACAGACATCCACAAACAGATATCCACACATCCACAAACAGACATCCACACAGCCACAAACAGACATCCACAAACAGACATCCACACATCCACAAACAGACATCCACACATCCACAAACAGACATCCACACATACACAGACATCCACACATCCACAAATAGACATCCACACACCCACAAACAGACATCCACACATCCTCAGACATCCACAAACAGACATCCACAAACAGACATCCACAGACATCCACACATACACAGACATCCACACATCCACAAATAGACATCCACAAATAGACATCCACACATCTACAAACAGACATCCACACATCCACAAACAGACATCCACACATCCACAAACCCACAAACAGACATCCACACATCCACAAACAGACATCCACAAACAGACATCCACAAACCCACAAACAGACATCCACACATCCACAAACAGACATCCACACATACACAGACATCCACACATACACAGACATCCACACATACACAGACATCCACAAACAGACATCCACACATCCACAAACAGACATCCACAAACAGACATCCACACATCCACAAACAGACATCCACATATCCACAGACATCCACACATACACAAACAGACATCCACATCCACACATCCACAAACAGACATCCACACATCCACAGGCATCCACACATCCACAGACATCCACACATCCACAAACAGACATCCACACATCCACAAACAGACATCCACACATCCACAAACACACATCCACAAACAGACATCCACACATCCACAAACAGACATCCACACAAACAGACATCCACACAAACAGATATCCACACAAACAGATATCCACACAAACAGACATCCACAAACAGACATCCACACATCCACAAACAGACATCCACACATCCACAAACAGACATCCACAAACAGACATCCACACATCCACAAACAGACATCCACACATACACAAACAGACATCCACATCCACACATCCACAAACAGACATCCACACATCCACAGACATCCACACATCCACAGACATCCACAAACAGACATCCACAAACAGACATCCACACATCCACAAACAGACATCCACACATACACAGACAGACATCCACACATCCACAAACAGACATCCACACATACACAGACAACCACAAACAGACATCCACACATCCACAAACAGACATCCACACATCTACAGACATCCACAAACAGACATCCACACATCCACAAACAGACATCCACACAGACATCCACATCCACACATCCACAAACAGACATCCACACATCCACAAACCCACAAACAGACATCCACACATCCACAAACAGACATCCACACAGACATCCACATCCACACATCCACAAACAGACATACATATATACAAATTAATAATAATATAAAAAAATTAACATTTCCCACCCACCCAGCATCCCTACCTTTCCCTGGGGTCCAGTGGGGCTGCAGTGAGGGCGGCTCTCTCCCTGTCACACGTGGAGAGGGAGCTGTGTGCTCTATGCTCCCTCTCGCCGCGCGGGATGTCTGCTGATGCTGGGAGCCGGAATATGACGTCATCAACCCGGCTCCCAGCAACAGCAGACATCCCGCGCGGCGAGAGGGAGCAGAGAGCACACAGCTCCCTCTCCGCGTGTGACAGGAAGAGAGCCGTTCACCGGGGGGCAATCCATCAGGTTGCCCCCCCATGACAGGGGAAACAAGGGGGGGCATTTGGGGGCGGCATTTTTTGCCGCCCCCTGAGTGCCTGCAGGGGGAACGGCGTTCCTGCTGTGAAAAAAGTGCAGGAACGCCGTTCCCACGCGTTCCTGCAGGACTCGAGTCCTGCACACATCCACAGACATCCACACATCCACAAACAGACATCCACACATACACAGACATCCACACATACACAGACATCCACAAACAGACATCCACACATCCACAAACAGACATCCACACATACACAGACATCCACACATACACAGACATCCACACATACACAAACAGACATCCACAAATAGACATCCACAAACAGACATCCACACATCCACAGACATCCACACATCCACAGACATCCACACATCCACAGACATCCACAAACAGACATCCACACATCCACAAACAGACATCCACACATCCACAAACAGACATCCACACATACACAGACAGACATCCACACATCCACAAACAGACATCCACACATACACAGACAACCACAAACAGACATCCACAAACAGACATCCACAAACAGACATCCACACATCCACAAACAGACATCCACACATCCACAAACAGACATACATATATACAAATTAATAATAATATAAAAAAATTAACATTTCCCACCCACCCAGCATCCCTACCTTTCCCTGGGGTCCAGTGGGGCTGCAGTGAGGACGGCTCGCCTCTCTCCCTGTCACACGCGGAGAGGGAGCTGTGTGCTCTCTGCTCCCTCTCGCCGCGCGGGATGTCTGCTGATGCCGGGAGCCGGAATATGACGTCATCAACCCGGCTCCCAGCATCAGCAGACATCCCGCGCGGCGAGAGGGAGCAGAGAGCACACAGCTCCCTCTCCGTGTGTGACAGGGAGAGAGCCGTTCACCGGGGGGCAATCCATCAGGTTGCCCCCCATGACAGGGGAAACAAGGGGGGGCATTTGGGGGCGGCATTTTTTGCCGCCCCCTGAGTGCCTGCAGGGGGAACGGCGTTCCTGCTGTGAAAAAAGTGCAGGAACGCCGTTCCCACGCGTTCCTGCAGGACTCGAGCCCTGCTAATACCTCTCCCTATACAACCAAGCATTCTGCTAGCATTTCCTGCTGCTCTATTACATTGTCTGCCTACCTTTAAGTCATCAGAAATAATCACCCCTAAATCCCTTTCCTCATATGTTGATGTTAGGACTCTATCAAATATTTTGTACTCTGCCCTTGGGTTTTTACGTCCAAGATGCATTCTCTTGCACTTATCCACATTAAATGTCAGTTGCCACAATTCTGACCATTTTTCTAGTTTACCTAAATCATTTGTCATTTGGCTTATCCCTCCTGTAACATCAACCCTGTTACATATCTTAGTATCATCAGCAAAAAGACATACCTTACCACCAAGACCTTCTGCAATATCACTAATAAAAATATTAAAGAGAATGGGTCCAAGTACAGATCCCTGAGGTACCCCACTGGTGACAAGTCCAAGCTTCGAATATATTCCATTAACTACAACCCTCTGTTGCCTGTCACTCAGCCACTGCCTTACCCATTCAACAATATTGGAATCCAAACTTAAAGATTGCAGTTTATTGATAAGCCTTCTATGTGCAACAGTGTCAAAATCCTTACTGAAATCTAGGTAGGCAATGTCTACTGCACCACCCTGATCTATAATTTTAGTTACCTAATCAAAAAAATCAATAAGATTAGTTTGGCATGATCTCCCTGAAGTAAACCCATGTTGTCTCTGATCTTGAAATCCATGTGTTTTTAGATGTTCATCAATCCTATCCTTTAACATGGTTTCCATCACTTTCCCCACTACTGAAGTAAGGCTTACTGGCCTATAGTTGCCCGACTCCTCCCTATTACCTTTCTTGTAAATGGGCACAACATTCGCTAACTTCCAATCTTCTGGGACTACTCCTGTTAACAATGATTGGTTAAATAAATCTGTTAATGGTTTTGCTAGTACACCACTAAGCTCTTTTAATAGCTTTGGGTGTATTCCATCAGATCCCATTGACTTATTTGTCTTTACTTTTGACAGTTGAAATAGAACCTCTTCCTCTGTAAACTCACGTGTAATAAATGACTCATTTATCCTTTTTCTCAACTGAGGTCCCTTTCCTTCATTTTCATCTGTAAATACAGAACAAAAATATTCATTGAGGCAGTCAGCTAGACCTTTATCCTCTTCTACATACCTTCCTTCTTTTTTTTTTAATCTAACTAATCCTTGTTTTACTTTTCTTTTCTCATTTATGTATCTAAAAAATGTTTTGTCCCCATTTATGCAATTTGTCTGGTGTATCATACAATTTATTAATTTTTCCAACACTTTCGCCACAGGAAAAGTTTTTTGTTTGTCTTTTTGAAGAAATCGTAAATGTGGCTGCATTTTCTGAAATGGCAGAATTCATGCAGAGAAAATCCAATATTTTTTAGATGATTTTTAAACCATTTTGGATCGAACGCTGGTATAATAGATACTCGTTTGCCTATTTCCTCCCAAACTGCTAGCGCGCAAGTGATTATAGCTCGCGATTCTCCATACGAATGTCAGCCTCCAAAGTGTATTCTCCCAGCAAAGTAGACAGGTACCCAAACATCAGCCAAACTAGATGAAGGGTGTAACAGGAATGATTTTAATGGTGCCACACTGGCTTTTATGCAAGTCCCCATGCAAGGGGTACTCCCACATGGACCTTGTCTGGGACTGTAGCGGAGAGCTGATATTCCACAGGTTATCTCCACTCAAGATCCCAGTGAGGCTCAGGAACAAGTATAAATCCATAAGGCAATAATTCCAGCAGGCAAAACAATCCAATAATATCCCAATATCAATCCCAATGACTGGACGACACACAGCATCAGGAGCAGAACTGAACTTTTAATCACTCAACCTTGTTCGTGGGGTTCTTTCTACCGAACGAGGAGCCGTTCGGTAGTTCCTACACGAATTGATGGCAGTGTGGAGGTTTCAGCTGTGTTTGCCTAACAGAGTGTCCGATTTGGGATCCAGACACTCGACGGGAAAACACCGCTGTTCGAGAGTTTAAGATGGCCGCCACCATGTGTTCGTCTCCCAAATGGAGGCCACCCAGAGGACAAAGCACATACTGCACTGATTGCCAATTACTCGTTTGCAACATTGTTGCGAACGGTAATTGGATGCACACTTATTCCTGGGGTGGTCTGATTGTTCGGTAGTTGCACTCGCATAATAACTGGAGTGATTTTACCGAACAATCAGACGAATGCTGCATACACTTTACATACATATGGCAAAAATTAACTGAACACATGCAAATCCACATAATTCTGAGGACAGCCCAATGACATCTGCAGCAGGAAGGGACAGCAAGGAGCAGGAAGGGACAGCAAGGAGCAGGAAGAGGCAGGAAAGGGTCAGCAAGGAGATGGAAGAGACAGCAAGGAGCAGGAAAGGGTCAGCAAGGAGCAGGAAGAGACAGCAAGGAGCAGGAAGGTAAAGGAGTAGAAAGAATCTGAAGGAGCACAAAAGTAAAGTAGGAGAAAGAACAAGAAGGGTCAGCAAGGAGCCAAAAGGGGCAGCAAAGAGCATGAAAGGGTCAGCAAGGAGCAGGAAGAGATAGCAAGGAACAGGAAGGGGCAGCAAGGAACAGGAAGGGGCAGCAAGGAACAGGAAGAGACAGCAAGGAACAGGAAGGGGCAGAAAGGAACAAGAAGGGGCAGCAAGGAGCAGGAAGAGACAGCAGGGAACAGGAAGGGGCAGCAAAGAGTAGATAGAGACAGCAATGAGCAGGAAAGGGTCAGCAAGGAGCAGAAGAGAGTGAAAGTAGCAGAAAGGGATTAGAAAGAGAAATGAACAGAAGGAGCCACTGAGGAGAGATGAGAGTATCAGAAGAAAAAGAAGACTGTGTCAAATGAAGGAGAAGAAAAGGAGATTGGAGCAGGAAGGACAAGTGAAGTGATCCCTCCACTACATTCTTGACATCACATCATAAGACTCCTGAGGAAGTCGGACGACTGACAAAATGCGTTGAGCCTTGCTGAGAGAACCCCAAGACCTGTTTTGAGATATTCCATACAAAGCTGGTAAATATTAGTGTCTGTGGTGCCCTGCCATTTTGTATTGATTTTTTTCTTTGGGTTTCTGTGTTTATAAAGGTCGGGAGTGGCCTTTAGACAGAGGCTTGCCTGCACTTTATCGTTATCACTCACTCCAGCCATCCACTTTTAGTTGTTTGTTTTTTTTATCCACTTGTTTTTGCATTCTCTCCAGACATTCAGTCACAGGAGGATCTAAAAATCTAGGGCAATGAAATTGACAGGCGTTTTATTTAATGAACTGGAAATGATGGCAAACTTACTGGGGAATTGCAAGTTTTAATCCAAAACAGGAACAATTCTTTTCAAACGCCACTATTTTTGTCTACCATTTCTCGTTCCTTTGTCAGTTCCCAGGACTCCCGGTTATTTAATAAATGGTCATTCTAAGGAGGTCTATTAGAACTAGACTTGCAGCGTCCTTTTGAATATGAGAACATAAAACATAGTGTCATCCCTAAACTTTGGAAGAAATCCAGGCCACCTTCAATTCGTGAATGGATACTGAGAGTTGATGATATTAAATTGATGGAAGAAATCACCTCAGCTAAAATGGGAAAACAAGTTAAATTCTTGTCCATATGGGACCCATGGATCCATCACATGCACTGCAACCCTCCCCCACCACAGTAGACGGACCTAACACATACCTTTATCCTCATCGAAAATACAAGCCCTATTCATAAACTTCTGCCTCTCCCACCATCACACCACTGCAGCTTTCTCTTCAGCCCCTTCCTCCCTGGTTGAGGTTGGTGGGAGTTGAAAGTAACCGATTGACAAGACACGCACAACCGTCACTCAATCTTGCTTCCCTGAGGGGACAGCATGGTACCATCCCCTACTTTTATACACCCGCTTTTCTTTCCATATACTCAATAGTCCTCCGCCGAGCCTAGGTTTTCCGACCCACAGAGGGGAATTATCCCTTTAGATACACATGAAGCGTACCAGTATAGGCCGGGTCTCAGGGTGTTGCACTAATGTAATGTTTCCTTTCAATTATTTATTGCTATAGTATTTTTGCTTGTTATGTTATCCTTTTTCAGTTGCCTCATCTACCACTATTTTCCTTTTTGTGGTGATGATTCTACTACAAAATGTATCTTCCACTATGTGATATTTTAGTACTGTTTAAAATAGTGAAATACCGAAATTGTAACCTTAATGTAATCTCGCTGTACCAAAGCTTATGTTTACCTATGACAAACATACAAAACAATAAAAAGATTTAAAAAAAAAACATAGTGTCAGGTTTTTTTGATAAAATAATTCTGTGTTGCCCGATGAGATAGGTTACAGCCCATTGGGCTAATCGGTTTTATTACCAAAATCAACTCAGTCT